AGTCTTCACTAATTATGTTCTTAAATCCATATTCTAGCCAATGCTTTAAGAAATGTCATTCAGCTCTGGGGTAATACCATTGTTTCTAGAAGCTTATGACTTCAGCCTCATTTCTGCTAGAAGATACCCTTAAAATACAGCACCTAAACGGTTTCTAATTTTCCCTTCACATACTGAGTCTCAAGTCACAGTGAGAGGTCAAGCAAATACTCACCAGGTGATGTGGCCCTTTTCTGTTTCTCTTCTGGTGTCAACCCTAACCCTGAAATTCTTTCGTTGTATCTTTTTTGGTCATCTTTTACTGTTTTGTAGGCCTGTAGATCCAAACATGGAAAAATTTATTTCACCATACAGCTAGCTCATACTATTTATAAGTATCTTTCAACCAAACGATAAGCTTTTGTCTGCATGAGGTTAATTCTTCTATGTTAAAACCACTACAGCAAAATTATTTTCTTCTTAAGCAATAGAAAATATTGGATGTGTAAATACTGGTGTGAAAAAATAAGGTAAGCAAATGAAAATGTTCCAGTTTCCAATTTTCTTAGGCTCCATGGAAAGAACTCTCATCGCATTTAATTCTGAAGATACGGCTAGAAAAAAATGAAAATAATTTATTCTAGGAGAAAATGTGGTAGGAAGGATCAAACTTAATTATGCCAAGCAGAAAGGTGTTTGGGATTATGCTGGTCACCAGCTGTGAATCAATCTATATAGTCCTGGTTCTGAGGAAGAAATTGGGACCTCCATTTTCCTGGCCCAAGTAATACTGAGTGTTACGGACTGAACTGTGTTCCCCTCAAATATGTGATGGAATCCCAACCCCTATGGTTGTAGATGTAATCCTGTCTGGGAACAGTTTTCTCTGTGTTAAGGAGGCCCTATCAGCTAGTTGTGTCCTAAACCTTATCGCTTCTGCCTTCTCAGGAGCATCAAAGACACAAGAGACAAGGAAGCACAAAGTGAGAAGACAGATGCCATGTGAAGATAGCCAAGGAATCAAGGACCACCGAGGCTGCAAAAACTGGAAGAGCTGATATAGAACAGACAAGGATCTTCCCCCAGAGCCAAAAGATGCCATCCCCTAGAGCTGGTGCCTTGAATTTGGAATTTTAGCCTCATGATTCGTGAGAAAATAAATTTCAGTTCTTTAAAGTCACTCACTTGTAGAGAACTTCAAGGTACTCAGATAATGGAAACATGGCTGCCTATATCCTGTTCTCATAGTGATCATCTTTCCCTCAGTGGTCTAGCCTTTTCCTTAACTGATAAGGCACAAGGAGCTTTATGAAGAACTACTACACATGGGTGTTTATTAAGGGGAAACCCTGCTTAAACCTTGTTGTATTCCAATATATTATCTTCTCCAGTCTTTTGAATTGAAGCAGGGCCTCTTACCATTATGATTGTTTGTTTTTTCTTTTAAGATACAGCATCAAAGTTTATTGGAGATTAACAGTTTCAAAAAGCAGCAAGCAAAACTGTTTGTTTTAATTAGAATTCTTTTGCTTTCTTTGTTTCCTATGGTATCAACAAGGCAGAGATTTAAATGACAACATGTCAAATGAAACTCTCAGTTATGAACTGCAGGTAAAAGCAAAAACTATCTGAGGAAGGACCACAAAACATGTTCTAGGAATATTTCCACAACCTCCCTTTTAGAGCAGCCCATTAGACAATGTGCTATAATAGGGACCTTGGATCATGAACCCTGAAATCTGGGCTTCACAGTAATTATCATGGAAACATTTAATGTGGGAGATGAATGGAGGAGAACACTAAAACCAAAAAGCCAAACTCACTGCTATCAAGTCAGTTCCGACTCACAGTGACCTTCTATGGGTTTCTGAGGCAGTATAAATCTTACAGATATAGATTGCCCAGTCTTCCTTCTGCGGAGTGGCAGGTGGGTTTGAACCGCCAACTTTCTGGTTAGCAGTCAAATGCCTTAGGCACTACGGATACTATAATACAAGTGTAGTTATTTCCCTATACATAAAAAGTATTTCTTTTAAGGCACTTTTACTTTAAAAGATGGTTTAATCTGGTCAACATGAGTGAACAGAAAAATAATAGAGGGCCGTGTTCACACTGAGACAAATATCCAGAAACAGCTTAAGCCCAGCTCAAATCTCCTAATGGTTTCAAAGAATAAATTAGATCAAGAAGTATCTTGAGGTTTAGTGGGGAAAGGGTAAGAGGTTGTGTTTGTGTGTGTGTGTGTGTGTGTGTACTGGCTTTTAAGATAAATGTTCTGATATAAAAAATAAGCTTATAGGCTTCCTAAATCAGAACCCAAGGGTCTCTGTAGTCCCAGTATGCACATATTTCCAATTAGTGAAATGTTTAAGAAAAACCACAAATTTATGAAAGGTATTATGGGAGAGAATTTTTCTGAACAGATGAACAGGGTGGTTATTTATTTAACTTCAAAGAATTTGAAAGGAAATGGTAATGATTTTCTGTAGGAGACAATGAGATGCTATTAGTTGAACAACGGCAAGCAAACCCACTGCCATTGAGTTGATTCTGACTCACAGTGACCCTACAGGACAGGGCAGAACTTCCCCATAGGGTTTCCAAGGCTGCAATCTTTACAGAAGCAGACTGCCACATCTGTCTCCTATGAAGAGGCTTTAGCTGCTACACCACCAGGGCTCCTGAACAATAACAGAAGACTGAGATTAGGAGATCTGCCCAAAGGTCCTAGAGAAAGTCACCAACAAAAGAGGAGAAACTCTTAGGTCCATGCCATCAAGAGATCCTATCTAAATCTAAGCAGCAAGATCACTGCTCAAATCAGTGTTTTTCAAACTGGGGGTGGCAACCTGTTAGTGGGCTATGGAATCAATTTAGTAGGCTGTGGTCACCATTTTTACAAAAAATGGAAGAGAACAGAAAATATTAAAGTATATCTCACACAGTAAGAGTATTACTGGTTGAATTTTTGTTTCAGTTTAAATTCTGAGTTGTAACATAAAATGCATTTCTGGATCATAGTTAGGGGGGAAAAAGCCACTGGTTTAAAGTGTTGACTCCAAGCGGACATTTCAGAAAATTCCTCCTGTTCTTACTGCTGTTCACTTCTTTTCTGGAGGAGGCTGAGGGAAGAAGGTAAAGAGCACCCAATACGGGAATTGCTAAAGTAGTATTCATACTTAAATCGGGAGCATCTCCTCACACGACGGAAAGTTACGAAGGAACACTGAACAACTCATAAGCATCTCATCAATCTGAACTCTGATTTCAAGTTCATAGTTCTCTTGAGATGAATACTAATGTCACAGAAAAAAAAATCCAAGCTAGTTCAGATCAAGCTTTTGATGACTGAACACCTAATACAAGGCTGTACCGAAATAGCTTGGTAACAGATGCAAGTAGACAAAAGCTTATCATTTAACCTGGAACCACTATAATATAGTAGCTTCATTATTACCAGTGTTGGATAAACACAGAGGGTAATGAGGCATTTAACTGAATGGCTTGAGAGGAACTTACGCTTCTCAGATATTTCTAGGGTGAAGAAAGCAACAGTGGCCAGTCTTGCCTTATGTTTTGGCAGCGAGAGAATTTGCCTGGTCAACTCTGTGGAGGCCCATCCAACTCTGGTATAGCAACATAAACCAGAGGTTTTAATTGTTAGAAACATATCAAACCCAAACTTTATGTCTATTTTTGAATGAAAAGAGTAGAATAGATGGGAAAACTGGGACAGAGATATGAAAAGGAGAAGTTAAGGCTCTGGGGTAGTATCTGAATTATGAATGAGAGGCATTTAAGAAAGCAATCTACATGAATGTGTTAGCTTGTACCACTTCAGCCACTAGTTTGACCAAAATAGAGATTACAAAAGGGACACTGCCAAATGAATATACTTTGAAATAGAGCTTGGGGTGGGTGGGCAGACTACTGCAATTTTTAGACCTCCTCAGAAGCATTCAGTGAAATACCTTTGCACAATAAAAGGTTAATTGAATGTTTCCCACAAAACACAAAAATTACATTGTACCTGAAATGACTCAAAATGGATGGTGTTCAAGTTACCTTTAATTGCTTATTCAATGTTTACTACTTGACTGTCCTGTTAGGTATGCAGCACTAAAGCACAATATAATTTGTTTTTGTTGTTATGTGCCGTCGAGTCGGACCCGACTCATAGCGAACCCTTCCCTGGGTTTCTGAGGCAGTATCACTATGGACGTAGATTGCCCAACCTTCCTTCTGAGGAGTGGCTGGTGGGTTTGAACCACCAGCCTTCTGGTTAGCAGTCAAGTGCCTTAGGCACTATGCTACCAGAGCTCCCCAATATAATTTAGCATCATAAAAAATAATTATGAAATTGGTAAAAGTTTCAAAGGGGTTGATTTTAGATATACCCCGTGAGACTTAAAACACTTTGAAGAATGAGATCTAAGGACTCCCTAGTGACTGACAATGTCCCTTTAATAAATACCTAATAAGCACATGCTGTAAATATTTTATTATATTCTAATGGCTTAAGTTTTCATTAGTGCCATGGTCTCACCCACCCTACCCCAAAATATATTTTAGTGTAAGCATCTTACATAATCAACTCCTGCCCCAGTGACTGTTGCTCCTACAATTAAGAAGTATACTAGGCTGCTGCCATCTTTCCCAGAAGCACCTGTAGACACTAGTGATCTAGAAGGGGATCCTAGATGATGACACTGCACAACTGTAGGTAAAGATAAGGCCAAGACAGAAACAAAAGGAAATAGAAAAAGCACTAAGTATTAATGAAGAAACATTCAATACAAAGACAGGGAAGTGTTTTTGGTGAACCTGTGCAAAAAAAAAAAAAAAAAGGAAAGAAAGAAAGAAAAGAAAAATGCTGTTCCAGGATTGAAGGAGGGAAATGTGTATTTCAATCAAGTATGTTATCAGACAGATCTTGCCTGTTTCTTAATCTGATCTGCCTCACAACTGTCAAGAAGTTGTCTACTCTTCTTGTGCATTTGGGAGCCAGGTCAGGATATGAAGATATAGGTAACTTAAAACAATTTTCATGTCCCTTTCTTTGTAATCTAGTGATCAAAGAACAAAGAAAAGCTCACCCCTTAATAAAATCTAAAAAGATTTAGATGTTTTAGAAAGATCTCAAGTTGTCATGGTTTTCAACTGTTTGTTCTTAGTAAAACAAAAAAGTCCCTTCAATCAAGGATGTTACTAGGTGTTATCTAAGTTGGTTCACTCAACCTCCTATGATCCAACTTTAGACTGATCTGCCTAGGAAACCCTGCCAAGTTTAAAAAAAACCCCACATCCACCGAATAATTCCTGTGACCAACTAAGTAGATCAGAATTCATTTAAGTAGCTGCAACTGTGCCAATACTACATAGCAGTTAAATACCCTATTTCTCACCTTAGGCAAAATCCACTCTAAAATTACTGGAGATACTGGGCCTGTTTCAAAAATTTAGTCATGGGGTGAGATTCAGGGATAGTTTTCCATTGAGGAATATATAACATTAAGACTACTGTTTTTTAATGATTATCTCAAGCTGAGACAAAATAAAATATTCGACAAAAATGGGTCAAAATCAAATATTGTGCTAAGGAGCTGCAATGAATTCACAAGTTAATGTGTCACATTAATCATAAGTTAGTGTGTCACATCCAAGAGAACAAGCATTTTTGTGGGTTAGTCAAATCTAAGTCACAGTGACTTCCAAGTAAACAGTTAAAAGATGATTGAAAAGAGATCAACCAAGATGAGATTAAATTCAGTCATTCCCAAATTGGTTCTCTTAGGGTATTAGCCAGTAGGCACTTTAGAGAAGGCTTTTCGGAAATTTTTCCAAAAGGAGAATTAATTGCAAAAGGTTGAAAGCAGAGTACTGAGTCTGCAATGGGAGCTGTTTGACAGCCTCCTTCTACAAGCTGCTTTTCTACTTACATATGCACCGGCTCCTATGGTTGATAAGCCCACAAGAAGGACTAACACAGAGTTATCGATTTTGCCCCCTGATGCACCAGAGCTAGCCATTTGTCTTGCCATCTGGAGTTCTAGGGGAACATGTCGTCGCTGGAACAAGTTGCCTAAGGAACACAATTTATATTAAGACACACACACACAAATAGAAGAGTTAATACATATTTATGATTAAACATCAATACATTATACAAGTAAAGATTTATTGCCCATTGGGTGGCATGGTGTTCACTGTTAAATGGCCAAGAAAAATATAATCAAAACTGAACACATAAATACCACAGGTGACTGAATGTACATGCTAAGTTGCTGAAGTTTTTTTCAAAAGTACAATTTCATTCTGCCCAGTAAGACAATTTACACCTACCAGAAAGATCATGAAAATCATATGGGCAGTTCATACCTCTCCCTTCACACCCTTACAATAACTGAAATAAACAACTAAATGGAGAGAGATACAAAGTTCACTACAGGCTACCTGGGACATTAATTTAATTGCATAAAAAGTGATCCAACTGGCCCAACCTTTACAAAAAATGAAATACTATAACACAATCTAACTAGGGCATAGTTTAGTCTTCTGTGAAAAATAATGTATCCTGGAAGACAAAAATGTTAAAACTCAGAAAAATTCAAGAAAAAATTAATTTCTCTCCCCTCCCAAAGAACTAAAAAATTAACACAGTGAAATACTTCAGAATGACAAAATTTAAAATGTCCACCATCTACTTGGCTCTTATTCCTTCAAAACACAAAGATTATTCTGATGTAAAACTGTAAGTTATGTAACAATCTAATGATCTTAGTAACTTTTGAACAAAGAAATGTAAGAGTTTCATACATTTCTCTCTTCAGGGGATGCTGACATTTTCAGGTGCAGGAAGGTCTCAGTACCTTCTGTGGTTGTACAGTTCTCATGTTGACTGTTGATCTAGATTGGGGTCAGCAAACTTTCTGTAAAGGGCCATAGTGTTTACAGCTTTGAGGGCCATATGGTCTCTGTCACAAGTATTTAACTCTGCTGCTGCAGAGCAAAAACAAACATGTTGTGTGCCACTGAGTTGATTCTAACTCACAGCAACCCTATAGAACAGAGTAGAACTGCCCCCTGGGCTTCCAAGGCCGTAGCTCTTTACAGGAACAGACTGCCAGGTCTTTTCCTATGGAGCCACTGGTAGCTCCAAATCACCAACCTTTTGGTTCGCAGCTGAGTGCTTGAACCACTGCACCACCAGGGCTCCTAAAGAAACCATAGACAATAAAAAAATGAATGGATGTGACTGTGTTCCAATAAAACATTATTTATGGACACTGAAATCTGAAATGTATATAACTGTCATGTGTCACAAAATATTATTCTTTGGATATTTTCAACCATTTTAAAAAATGTAAAAACCATTCTTGGCTTAACTGGGAATATAATTACACACAGCAGACCCAGGGACAGATTGATTACCCAATAAGCAAGGAACCAAAACAAAACCAAACCCACTACCACTGAGTCAATTCCAACTCAGAGGGACCCTATAGGGCAGAGGAAAACTTTCCTTATAGAGCTTCCAAGGCTGTAAATCTTTACGGAAGCAGACTGCCTGATCATTGTTCTGCAGAGCAGCTGATGGGTTCGAACAGCTGACCTGTTGGTTAGCAGGCTGAATACTTTAACCACTATACCACCAGAGCTCCTTTTAAGCAAGGTATGCATGGCCTGGATTGTGTTTACTTACTAATTTGTAGTGCACAAATTTCATACTGTGCTTACTGGTTAATCTGCCCTGAGTGGAACAAATTTGGCCTGTGCACCTTAATTTGCCAACCCCTATCTAAAGCAGGAGCTCTGGTAGCATAGTGGCTAAAGCACTTGACTGCTAACCAGAAGGCTGGCGGTTCAAACCCACCAGCCACTCCCCGGAAGGAAGGTTGGGCAATCCTACTTCCGTAGTGATACTGCCTCGGAAACCCAAGGAGGGGTCACTATGAGTCGGGGCCGACTCGACGGC